AAACCCCCCCGGATCCCCCCCAAATCCCCATCCCTGACTCCCAGCTGCTCCCCGCAGTGCTGGCTCCCGACGAGGACGACTTGGTGGCCATGGAGGTGACGTCCCCTCCCCCCATCCCCAAAAAATCCGGGAGCTCGGCGCTGGAGCCGCCCCCGCCCCGCCTCGGGACCAAGCTGAGCCCGGAGCCCCCCGGCAGCAAGGCCGAGCCCCAGGACTCCAAAGGTCAGGATTTCCCCGGATTTTCCCAAATTCTCCTCGGATTTTGGCACTCAGACCCCACCCAGGGGCGTTTTTAGGGTTAATTAATGGGGGAGTTGACGAGGGGGGATTGTTCTGTTTGGGGTCCAGAGGGGTTGGAATTCTTTGGGATCAGCTCCCAAGCTTTCCTCCTCATTCCCCTCATTATGAGATTGGATTTATCCTGATTTTTTTCCCATTTTTTCCGTGTTTTTTCCCCGTTTTTCAGCTCCCAGCCTGGCCACATGTGAGGCGTGCAGCTCCTGCTGTGATCCCAAAACTGGGGCTGGGAGGGGCTGGAATTCTTTGGGATCAGCTCCCAAGCTTTCCTCCCTGTCCTTCCTCATTCCCTGAGAATGGATTCGCTCTGAGATTGGATTTATCCTGGTTTTTTTCCCATTTTTTTCCTGTTTTTCCCCATTTTCCAGCCCCTAACCTCACTCCCTGTGAGGCGTCCAGCTCCTGCTGTGATCCCAAAACGCCCACCCAGGGGCGTTTTAGGGTTAATTAATGGGGGAGTTAACGAGGGGGGATTGTCCGGCTTGGGGTCCAGAGGTGGGGCTGGGAGGGGCTGGAATTCTTTGGGATTGGTTCCTAAGTTTTCCTCCTCATTCCCCTCGCTTTGAAATTGGATTTATTCTGCTTTTTTCCCATTTTTCTGTGGTTTTTCCCATTTTCCAGCCCCCAGCCTGACCACCTGTGAGCTGCCCATTCCAATCCCAAATCCAGGACCTGTCCTTCCTCATTCCCTGAGAATGGATTCGCTCTGAGATTGGATTTATCCTGGTTTTTTTCCCATTTTTTTCCTGTTTTTCCCCATTTTCCAGCCCCTAACCTCACTCCCTGTGAGGCGTCCAGCTCCTGCTGTGATCCCAAAACTGGGGCTGGGAGGGGCTGGAATTCTTTGGGATCGGCTCCCAAGTTTTCCTCCTCATCCCCCTCGCTCTGAGATTGGATTTACCCCGAATTTTTCCCATTTTTCCATGTTTTTCCCCATTTTCCAGCCCCCAGCCTGACCACCTGTGAGCTGCCCATTCCAATCCCAAATCCAGGACTGTAGGCGACACTCAGGAGCTGATCCCAAGTGATTTTTAACCCCCAATTTCCCATTTTTCCCCATTTCCAGCCCCCAGCCTGACCACCTGCAAGGTGTGCAGTGCCTGCTCCCATCCCAAATCCAGGACTGCGGAGGGAATTCAGGAGCTGATCCCAAGTGATTTTTAACCCTTATTTCCCTTTTTCCAGCCCCCAGCCTGACCACGTGCGAGGTGTGCGGCGCCTGCTCCAACCCCATAACCGTGTCCCTGTTTGAGCCAATCCCAAGTGATTTTTAACCCCCAATTTCCCATTTTTCCCCATTTCCAGCCCCCAGCCTGACCACCTGCGAGGCATCTGCTTTTCCTCCCTGTCCTTCCTCATTCCCTGAGAATGGATTCGCTCTGAGATTGGATTTATCCTGGTTTTTTTCCCATTTTTTTCCTGTTTTTCCCCATTTTCCAGCCCCTAACCTCACTCCCTGTGAGGCGTCCAGCTCCTGCTGTGATCCCAAAACTGGGGCTGGGAGGGGCTGGAATTCTTTGGGATCGGCTCCCAAGTTTTCCTCCTCATCCCCCTCGCTCTGAGATTGGATTTACCCCGAATTTTTCCCATTTTTCCATGTTTTTCCCCATTTTCCAGCCCCCAGCCTGACCACCTGCGAAGTGCCCGCTCCGATCCCAAAACCAGGATTAGGGTGGCAACTCAAGAGCTCATCCCAAGTGATTTTTAACCCCAATTTCCCATTTTTCCCCATTTCCAGCCTGACCACCTGCGAGGTGCCTGCTCCAATCCCAAATCCAGGACTGTGGAGCCGATCCCAAGTGATTTTTAACCCCAATTTCCCATTTTTCCCCATTTCCAGCCTGACCACCTGCGAGGTGCCTGCTCCAATCCCAAATCCAGGACTGTGGAGCCGATCCCAAGTGATTTTTAACCCCAATTTCCCATTTTTCCCCATTTCCAGCCTGACCACCTGCGAGGTGCCTGCTCCAATCCCAAATCCAGGACTGTGGAGCCGATCCCAAGTGATTTTTAACCCCAATTTCCCATTTTTCCCCATTTCCAGCCTGACCACCTGCGAGGTGCCTGCTCCAATCCCAAATCCAGGACTGTGGAGCCGATCCCAAGTGATTTTTAACCCCAATTTCCCATTTTTCCCCATTTCCAGCCTGACCACCTGCGAGGTGCCTGCTCCAATCCCAAATCCAGGACTGTGGAGCCGATCCCAAGTGATTTTTAACCCCAATTTCCCATTTTTCCCCATTTCCAGCCTGACCACCTGCGAGGTGCCTGCTCCAATCCCAAATCCAGGACTGTGGAGCCGATCCCAAGTGATTTTTAACCCCAATTTCCCATTTTTCCCCATTTCCAGCCTGACCACCTGCGAGGTGCCTGCTCCAATCCCAAATCCAGGACTGTGGAGCCGATCCCAAGTGATTTTTAACCCCAATTTCCCATTTCTCCCGATTTTTTGCAGCCCCCAGCCTGACCACGTGCGAGGTGTGCGGTGCCTGCTGCACTCCCATAACCGTGTCCCTGTTTGAGCCGATCCCAAGTGATTTTTAACCCCCAATTTCCTGTTTTTTGCAGCCCCCAACCTGACCACCTGTGAGGTGCCCACTCCAATCCCATAACCGTGTCTCTGTTTGAGCCGATCCCAAGTGATTTTTAACCCCTATTTCCCATTTTTCCCCCATTTCCAGCCCCCAGCCTGACCACGTGCGAGGTGTGCGGTGCCTGCTGCACTCCCATAACCGTGTCCCTGTTTGAGCCGATCCCAAGTGATTTTTAACCCCTATTTCCCATTTTTCCCCCATTTCCAGCCCCCAGCCTGACCACCTGCGAGGCATCTGCTCTAATCCCAAAACCAGGACTGTGGAAACTGATCCTAAGTGATTTTTAACCCCTAATTTCCCATTTCTCCCTATTTTTGCAGCCCCCAGCCTGACCACGTGCGAGGTGTGCGGCGCCTGCTCCCATCCCAAAACCAGGACTGTGTGGAGCCAATCCCAAGTGATTTTTAACCCCCAATTTCCCATTTTTCCCCATTTCCAGCCCCCAGCCTGACCACCTGCGAGGCGCCCGCTCCAATCCCAAAACGAGGAGTAGGGTGGGAACTCAGGAGCTCATCCTCAGTGGTTTTTAACCCCAATTTCCCATTTTTCCCCATTTTTTGCAGCCCCCAGCCTGACCACGTGCGAGGTGTGCGGCGCCTGCTTCGATCCCAAAACCAGGACTGTGTGGGAACTGATCCCAAGTGATTTTTAACCCTTATTTCCCATTTTTTGCAGCCCCCAGCCTGACCACGTGCGAGGTGTGCGGCGCCTGCTTCGATCCCAAAACCAGGACTGTGTGGGAACTGATCCCAAGTGATTTTTAACCCTTATTTCCCATTTTTTGCAGCCCCCAGCCTGACCACGTGCGAGGTGTGCGGCGCCTGCTTCGAGACGCGCAAGGGGCTCTCGAGCCACGCGCGCTCCCACCTGCGCCAGCTCGGCGTGGCCGAGTCCGAGAGCTCGGGGGCCCCCATCGACCTCCTGTACGAGCTGGTGCGCCACAAGCCCAAGGCCGAGGGCCCCGCGCTGGCCAAGAAGTCGGCGGGCTCGCCCAAGGAGCCGGGCGCGCCGCGGCCGCCGCTGCTGCTGCTGCCCAAGCCCGAGGGCTCCGTCAACAAGGCCATCAAGTCCCCGCCGGGCTTCGCCAAGGCCCTGGGCCGGCCGGGCTCGCCGGGGCTGCGCAAGGCGCCGGCGCCGCTGCCCGGCTCGCCCAAGGCGGCCGAGGAGAAGGGAGCCAAGCTGGCGCTCAGCCCGCTGCCCGCCGAGGCCAAGTGGGCGCCCGACGAGGACGGGCCGCTCAACCTCAGTGAGTGGCGGGGGGTCTGGGGGGGTTG